ACCACAAAACGCTGGTTTAGTGTTTGGAATAATCGTCTTTAAGCAGACAAACCATTAATTTGATTTAAGCCAAGAGATTGAAGAGGCAAATCTGCATTATATTAATGATAGGAATTTTTCTTGCCACATTTTCCTAGACTATTCAGTTAATATGTAATATTGCTATTCAGTTATAACTAGAATAAATATAGATCTTCCTCATCATTGCCACATGTTGAAATAAAGCTTAACTAAAAAATATTTCATGATTATTAAATTTGATATTTTGTTCTTGAATTTAAAAATTGACAAAAGACTATGCCCAAATTAATTTATAAACTCTAATGAACAGCGATAAAGGCTTTTCATTAAGGTTTTTATCAATTCGATTTTAATTTCTTTAAGAATTTGCGGATGACCAGTTATTAGGGCTTAGTGAAACAATGATTGATATTAGGAACTAGAATTTTGGTAGTTTTAAAATATGATATAAATTATGTTTAAAAATTATCTTATTCAAGAGTTTCCCTATTTTCGATCATTTCAGCAACAAGTGCATATCAATATCAAAATCGATAGTGGCTCGAATATAAGAAAGTGACAAATTTATAAATCTTATTTTTCAAAATAAACTGTTTTTTGCTATAGTTTCTAATCGCCCTTTAATTTTAATACAAACCAATAAATCAAGGTTGTATTTTTAGGAAGGGGAATAGAAACAGCTTTAGATTGTAGAAGCTAAAAAGAAAACATTTAAAAACATAATTGCACTATACTTCTTTTCAGCATCATTGACAAAATAAGGCTAGCATAGTAAGGAAAAATGTGAATATATGCGATACAGATGCATATAGTAATCTTATATATTTTAAAGAAATCCCTTGACAACAAAAATAATGGCGGCTTAATTATGAACATTTAGCATTTAAATAGGCCAGAATACCGGGCCAACTTTAAAAAAAGATTTATTCGCAAGATATGATCCTGCTTGGAATCCTTATTCAAGAAGCTCCATCACCGAAAGTAAAACATTAGTTAGTAAACTATTACGATGATGTTAAGCAGAATCACATAATTTTTAGTTATATTGTTTTGCCTCACAATGTAAAACAGTTTTTGTACATGTAGCTTGGTAATGATGCCAAGAAGACCTATAAATATTAACCCTATGCAGCTTCTTATGCCACGATAGTAAATTATTTTCAGCATATGAAAATTTGCCCGACATATTCTCAGATATTCTGCCTGCATAGAATGCAGCATCTCCAGTAAACATTACCTCTCTTAGGAGTTAGCTACAAAGAGTGAAAAATACATATGAGAAGATATGAATAACGAGATTGTGCAGCCTTTGGTACGGTCCCACTCTCCTTTCGATGTATAGAAGTGGGTTGACCTAGTTTTTGCTGATGCTGACTACGATGCCGGCGAAACGCTCGAGAATGTCTCAAGTCCACAATCTGATGGTGGGAATTATGATAACTACTATAGCAGAGGACTTCGGGCAAAGTGCATCTAGCTAGTCACCATGACAATATGACCAAGTTGCGAAAACGAGGTTAATCTGCTTCTATGCATTTGAGGTTAACAAACTTTGTAATGAATTTTCGTGGTGTCTCTTCTCTACCACCAATCATTATTTCGCCTACTTACTTTGCTATCACCTTTTTTATTCTTTATTAAGATGTGCACCAAATCCGGTTTGAGAAAATCAGTTACTTCTTTGATTTTAAAAATTTATATTCATTTTTATCTAAAAATTATGCAAGATTACCTCAGGCTTTGCAAAGAAAAATAGGTAAACTAAGAACGTCAGATAAAAAGCACACTGATTGCATAAACAACAACATGACAATATTTCTATTGAATCAAATTGACTTCATTTATTTACCCTGCAGGTGAAATGGCTTAAATTGCCCATATCATTCTATAGCATAGATATTTTAATTTTTATAGTGTTTCTCATGTAAGCCAAAGTAGCTTTTAGTTTTATTTTACCCACGCACTAGTACTCAATAATTTATTTTTGGTCTATTAAGAACCATAATAATCCAGTCATTTTGACTATATCCTCTCATTATTAAATAATTTTGACGCCATAGACAAAATGGAGTATTTATTAGTTAATAGTCTCTAATCTACTATTTACTTTAGTATAATGCAAGCCTAATATACGTAAATCTCAAGCTTTTAAAATGATAAAGTATACTTAAAACATATCTAGGCCATCTAAATAGAACATTACTCGTCCAACGCTATTGGCATATATGAAAAGTAATTTCTAATAAAGACCGTATTTTTTGTCTTCAATTTGATCTCGTTTATTGCAAAGGAATTATTATATATAAAAAGATTAACAAAAAGCAAAGGATATGCGCATCTTCTTTTTGAGTAAAAAAATATAAATCTATTGACCACCCGTGCGATACGTTAAATAGAGCAATTCAAATAACAATAGAATTTATAATAGTCCGCGGCTGTTGCGGAAGCTAAACTTTGGATATTTAGGAATATCAAGATATATTTTTTTAGTTATTCTCTCTTTATAATTTCACAAATTTTTATATTTTGCATCCTTATATTTGCAAATTTTATTATAACTCTTTTCAATCACTTCAAGTTCCCCATGTTGCCATCCAGCTTCAAGAGTCTTCACAGAACCCTGCTCCTCTAGAATATGATCTTGCTCTCCTCGTCTGCCTAATTGAAGATTCTGACCCGATGGTACAGGCGCGTGCTATCAGCCTTTTGGCTAGTCTGATAGGTACTATAGAGCCTCCAAGTAGTGAAGGGGCTCTCAAGATAGCTTTAGGCCATTCTGCTTCAACTCCAACAATGCTAGGAAGCATAAATCTTGATAATCGTGTAATTACATTTAACTCCAAAATAGCTCTTGGAGCAGCGATGCTCCAGCTGAGTCATGCAGATCAGGCAATTCGTCAGGCAGCATGTCGCACGGCCGGAAACGCCGCCTATTCTGCACCAGAGCTTTATCCTTTCCTAAGACCAGCGATACCATTTTTAGCTGGCATGCTAAACCGCGAAGGTTCAGCGAGATTGCGAATAAATGCGGCAGGTTAGTCGATATTTTCATAGCTTCTTATCATATATTGTATCTTTGGTACTTGAACTTCTAGTCTATGAGTTTGTTTCAATTCATAAATTTATTCACTTATAATGAATCGATATGAGATTTAAAGCTCAGAACATCCAACGCAAAATTAATTAATCAATTAATTATCAATATCCGAAGATCTGTACAATAAATCATAATTATGCAGACCGAAATAGCCAGTGAGAATTGCTATTGTTTTTCACTTGGCCTTTGATTTGATTAGAATATTATAAAACAAGATTCATTAAAACTCTCATCTTACAGAAGCGCAGATACTAAAATCCATGTTGGTATGAGGTTCTTAAATGTGCCTAAATTCTAAGTTGGGGTCGATTCCCTATAATAATATTTATTTGATCCTGATTTAATTGCAAAATGAAATAGGTCACTGGCAAAATTAACGGTTTCATTATGAGGAGAGTCGCTACTAGTACAAGTTTAAACTTGATATAGCTGCTAGATGTTTACATTTATCATTTTTGTTTTGGTGATGGCTTCTAGGTAGTTTAGCTTGTTAAATGAGGTAATTCTGAGTTTTCAAAATTACGATTACGTTTAGCTGCTACTTCTGAGATTAGGATCTAAAAGGAATTTAAGTAACTCATCATATTCGTTTGGGACTAGCTTATTTGAAAATTATTTCACAGGAGTGTTCATTTTTAGGTTAAATGGAGCTTTTGTTTATATTAAGCATTAACAAGTATCATATTTCAAAAATCTCTCCGTCTGCTTTTCGTGGTGTATCTATTTCAATACATTTTAAAATTATTAATTTTTGGTTTCTTATCATAATCAAATCTTTCCTCAGGAACGAGGCCTAATCTATTAAAATTTTGGACTTTAGTATATTTTTATAATCTCAACGGATAAAGAAATCCTAATAGTACATGTAGTTAAATATTTTACTCATGGCAGTTTGAATAATATTCTTCTTTTGAAATTATTATTCCTGGAATTTAGTGGCTTATTATTATTACCCATCCAATTCATCAGTACACGTAGTATTACTATTGCGAGAACTTTACTCTTCTGAGGATTGTTCTACGAAGTTAGTTCTCTATAGAGCAAAGAACCAAAATTCATAAGTATATTTTTATGAAGTTTATTTTCAATAGAGAATTTTTTATCATCAGCATTAGCTATTTTTTATTATTGTGGAAACAATGAAGAACTATAAATAAGAGCATATGGAAGATTATTAAAACCGATGAAATGGATAACTATGGAAAAATAATATTAATATTATATGAGATGTATTCAGCCCCAGATTCTTTTATCTGGAAAGCTAACATTATTCTTAAACAAAAAATTAATAAAACCCTTTATTCAATAGTTATTATCACACTTTCGTGAAGTAGATCATTAATTAAGAGTAAAGTTGCCTGTTGGTAAATAGCCTTTCTACATCCATGTGATTGCCAAGCTACTAGTAATTGATCCAATGTGCAAACAATGCAGCCCCTATTAAAGTATGCATGAACATATGCATTTTTTCTGCCATTGAGACACGCCTTATCCCTTATAAGAGAAGCCGTAGAAAGAAACCATAACAAAATAATTTTGTCTATATTTTTGAAAAATAGCATTTGGATATAGATATATGTTGGTTAAAAAATATGTACACATTTCATCTAATTGAATGTCCTAAATATTTAATTTTTTAATTTATGAGTAAAAATGA